AGGAGAAAGCAGGAATGCCCTTTAAAGCTGCTTTTTGATTTTTGTTTCCTTTTGCAAATGTTTATCAAGCATTCCATTCGAGGCATTTTTAAGATCACAACCTGTTCTCCCAGGATTCATAGGCAGGAGAATGAAGGACACATTTAAATTAAATCGAGCCTTAAAGGTCCATGGCAACTATCAGTCCCTCCTGGGAGCCCATTTTGAGGCTTTCTTCCCCCTCCTTGAACATGGGCTAGACATTCCTCTTAAGTTTTCCTATAGTGTGTAATGCAGTGCTTCACCCTGGCCCAGGAAAACAGCCAATAACACAGTATGTAGTACACATTCTTGTATTATAGACATTGCTGAATATAGTGTCTAATACACGGTATTCCATAAATGTGGGTTATCTCTGCTACTGCTGTTGTTGTTTACTACAACAATTAGCATTTAAATAATCATAGGAAGAGAGAGAAGGAGAGACAGGAAGAGAGAGAGAGAGAGAGAGACAGAGGGAGAGAGAGAGAGAGAAATTCTTTATCTGTTGGTTCACTCCCCAGACGATGATCATTGTGTTACTCCAAATCAAGTACTCCACCAGGTCTTCCATGTGGGTGGCAGGGACCAAGAATTCAGGATATTCTCATTTTCTTCCAGGAGCATTAGCTAGAAGTCACTGAAAGCAGCGCAGTTAGAGCTCAAACTAATACTCTAGTATGCAATGTCGGCGTATTAACATGCTGTGCCACAGTACTAGCCATTGTGTTCTCATGTTAAACAACTGTCTATTCTTCCAAAAGAATATGAGGTTAGAAGTAGTTCTCCATTCTGTACACTACATGCTATCCTGTGACACTATATGCTCACTGTATGTTCTTCCGTAAAATCGGATCCACAGCATTTCAGATTCCTCTGGTGTACTGGGAGATGCAGTGGTAAGTTAGATGATTAGACTTTTTGCAAAGAGGTCTTGGGCAATTCCCTGCCTCACCAGCTGCAGGATGAAGCTGTGATTTGCTTTGAAAATGATCTCCCTTCTGCATATGTCAGGAAGTCCTAAAGAGCTTGGAGTGTCTACTTAATTCCAAGAGGGCAAGTCACAGGAATTCTCTCAACAAATAGTCATGGGTTCATGACATTTTGAAGCTATCACTTTGATGTGGCTGTTTTGACTCACGGTTCTGGGGACATTTTAGCATGTCCTAAAAACATGAAGCAGTGTTCGAAAGTAGCAATTTCCTGCAATAGAACTCCAGTGACATCTCAGGGCTGGGTGTATGTGCATGTGTGTGTTTTCACTTTGACATGACTGCTTTGACGCTTGAAGTTTTCATTCCTTCCTATGAAAGTTGACAGAACACTTGCTTTAAATCCCTGTTAGTCTCACTTGGATACCAACCAGGAGCCCGATTCTCATTTCAACAGCAGGAGGCTTGCAAATGGAATAGACAGAAAGAAGTACAGCTTCAAGGGGATGCCTGACCAAGGGGAATACATCGTCAGTTCACAACGCATGGTACTTCCTTGATTTGCTGGCTCTTTCCTGAGTTAGGGCTTTAGATGATTATGCAAGCTGGTAAAATATTTAAAAATAGAAAAAGATCTCAGTGCACATGTAGAAAGGTGGTCTAGTTAATAAGATCATTCTGATCGTTTTTCTCCTGCTGTGCTGGTAAGAGAAACTTTCAGTCTGTTCCATTTGGCAAAGGGAGGAAGTGGTACCCGTTGCTCACTGATCAGGAAGGCTCCTACCACAGGCCGTGAGCAGTCATGCCTTATTTTCTCTTTCAGATGATCTGAGTCATCTCTAGTGCACACATATGCTGGAAAATCAGATTGTCTCAAACATTAATGAGATGAGAAATTTAGACCATTCAGGCAGACAATAAAAAGTGTGTATGTATTTTTGGCTGACATTTTTTCCCCAGAATATTCTATTAAGTCTTGCAACATTATTCCCAATTTTAAAACATTTTGAGAGCTGGTACATTTAAGCAGCTTGCTGTTAAACAGTAAATAGCCGTATTTGGGTCCAAGGTCTTAATTCAAAAATTGGAAGGAGCTGGGGCAGTGGCACAGTAGGCTAATCTCTTGCTCAGTGTTGACAGCATCCCATATGGATGCTAGTTTGTGTCCTGGCTGTTCCACTTCCAGTCCAGTTTATGGCCTGACGAAGCAGCAGAGACTGACCTAGGGTCTCCGACCCCTGCATCCACATGGGACACCTGGAGGAAACTCTTGCCCCCTATCTTCAAACTGGTTCAGCTCTGGCTGTTACCATCATATAGGGAGCGAATTGGAAGATGGAAGACCTCTCTTTGTATCCCTCCTTTTCTCTATGCAAAACCTGCCTTTCAAATGAAAAAAATAATCTTAAAAAAATGGAAACGGAGTTCATGATGTCTTGTTTCAATGGTGATATGACTAGGTAGATCCCCGAGATATTATCTTTGTTATGAACTTGATGAGCGTTGTTTTTCTTCTTGCCGTTTCCTGCATAAGGGGCTGTGTGGGTGTCAGTCGCCATGATAGCATGCATTTGTGTAATTTTTGTGAGAAAAAGCTCAAGCTCTTGTTCTACACACCACATAGCCAGCAGGTGATGGGGTAGGATTTGAAGCTATTTTTGTCTCTTTTCCATTGCTGTAAGAAAAACACTTGAAGCAGAAGCTGAGAGGTTATTTATTTTTCAACACAGTGCATGGCACAAACATCTGCTCAACTCTAGTGAGCTCCCTTTGGTCACATTGCATCATGTTAAGCAACACCATGGTAGGGACATGTATGAGACTGAGGTAGGGACATGTCAAGGCAGGAATCCAGGGGACATGGAGCGGGGGGTGGGCAGCCTTGCTCTTTTATGCGAACAACTTATGAGAACTAACTAGGGTTCTGTGAGAACTACATTAGTCTTTGCTGAGTGTAGCATGCTCAGTGACCTGGTGATGTTCTTCTGGGCCCCACTTCTTAGAAGTCCCACCATCTCCTAACATCACCACACTGGGGACTGAGGTTCCAACCTATGAACCTCCTGGTGACAATCCACTACCGTACCAAAGCAGAAGCCAAAGCTCTCTGGTTCTACAGCTACAGCTCACTTTGTTCCCATTATAACCAGTGATTCCAAACCGCAGGTGTACAGGCTAGTGGTGGTTCCCTCTTGGTGTTGAGCATGTTTATATGAGGATAACACCCCTGGGTCTTAGAAAGCACAGTTATTTGTCCAGACATTTGTCTTTCTGGATGCTCAAGGCCTTTTTCTTGATCAAAGGCTGGTGATTGTAAATGATAGCTACAGAAAGTTGGCCTGCCTCTGTCAACCTTAAGCTTTGGCAAAGCACTTTATCATCCTGGAAATAACAAAGCTGGTGAATGAGTAAGCTGCCCACTACCCGATCTATAGCTCCACTGGGCAGACTGCAGGATAACTTGAGTAGACCTGGTGTTTATCTGGAAATGGGCTGAGATGTGTCACTGGGAAAGGGGATCTCAATGCTTAGAATCATCCCTTGACACATGGTTGGATGGACTCCTGGGCAGTTTAGCAGAGTTATGACAGTGCAAATTATCTTTAAAACATAATTGAATGCTTTTTTTTTTTTTGCACTGCGTAAGCAATCTTTTCTGTAAGAGGCAAAATTGGGATGATAAACATTTATGACTTTTCCCAGTCTAGAATGGAGAAGGATTGAACCTGGAGGTATGTTCATGTTGGTACAATGTAGGCAGTGACTCTTAAAAAAAAAAAAAAGCCTTCTTGCTGTTGTTACAAGAATGAAAGAGCTCAGATTTGGTTGGGGGCCAGACACATTTAGATTGGAAACTCTGTTTCCTTTGATTCTGCAACCTTGGGCAAGTATCAATCTCCTTTTTGTGAAAAGAAATGAAGATTCAGGGGAATCGTTCAGGAATTACTGTGGGGACAATTCTTGGGAAATTCCTGCTGTAGTCAATGGTATTTCTTTCTGTTTAAACTGATTAATTTATCTTAGCATTCCATGATGCAGTTCTATAGGCTTCAGGATTTCTGTTCCCTCCAACACACACACACACACACACACACACACACACACACACACACACACACACACACACTTACCCCATGTCATTATAATAGTATAGTCCTTCACAGTCGTAAGTCCATCATTCTGCTGTTTAAGCGTATCCTGACATTATAGGTATGGACATTGACAAAGAGTACAGCATCCCATTGTCAAAATACATTCAACAGTTTCATTTGGAGTCTATCTTTGATTTGGAAGTAGAGATGCACACTGCATGGTATCTTCACATCTGTATGTGATAGTCTCTACTACACAGTTATTATGCATCCTTGTAAATGAAAAGCCATTAAGCAAAGTCAACAGAGAGAAATTAGAAAATTTACAGCGTGAAGTTAAGTAACATGCTACTGAATGATCAAGGTGTTGCTGAAGACATTAAAAAGAAAATCAAAGACCTCCATGGAGGAACCTCAGTGTGGTTTTCATTCATATTTCCGTGACAGCTAGAAACCTGAGCATTTTTTTATATGTCTGTTAGCCATTTGAATTGGTTGTTTTAAAAAATATCTTTTCATTTCCTTTGCCCATTTTTTTCACAGGGTTGTTTGTTTTGCTGTCGCTGACTTTCTGAAGCTCTTTGTAAATCCTGGATATAAGTCCCCTATCAGTTGGTGTAGTGCATGTTTTTTCCCATTCCTCTGGTTCCTTCTTCACTTTATTGATCATCTCCTTCGCTGTACAGAAGCTTTTTAGTTGATGTGGTCCCATTTGTTTATTTTGATTTTAAAATTGCCTGTGCACTTTGGTATTTCTTTCTTTATGTGGAGAATTCAAGGTAATAAAGATACAATGTGTCCTATTGTCATGAACTGGAGTTAGGATCCTCTGTTTTTATTGTCTTGCTAATGGTTCCAACTCCAGCTGTGTCCAGCAGAGCTCCCAACCCTTAAGCCCCTGAAGCTATTTAAGGAAGGCGCCCAAGGTCTGTAATCACTGTCTCTGCTTCTGTTCTAGTGCCAACAATATGCCCAAGCAGGTGGAAGTGCGAATGCATGACAGCCACCTCAGCTCAGAGGAGCCTAAGCCCCGGAATCTGGGCCTGCGCTTGTGTGACAAGCTGGGGAAGAATCTCCTGCTCACACTGACGGTGTTTGGTAGGTGTCTGACACGCCCCTGTCTAGGGCTATCCTGGCTCTGTTGGGGAGTGGCCTCCTCAGCAAGTATTTCCCCAGGAAAAGGAGCCTCATCTCTGCCTAAGGCTCCTTTTGCCCAGGCATCGCTGCCTCCAGGATATCTTCTCACTGGTTCCCAGATTGCTTGGTCATTGAATTCTAGTGGTTCTCAAAGTTCAGGCTGCCTATAAATATCTTGTGAGTGAAGGAGGAAGCGACTTAATTTACTCCAGCACCAGATCATGAGTCTTCCTCCCCTGCTTCAGATCTAATCAAGCTGTGGTTGACCTTTTGGGTGTATTATTGATGGAATCTCACTTTTAGGTTTTGCACCAGAATGTACTGAGAAAATGGGGCAAGTCACTGATTCTTATAAGACAACCACACCATTTCCTTTCTCTATCCCCCCTCATTCTTCAACTCTCTCTACAGAGAATGACTCATCCTCTGCCACCCACTCACACTAACTGTTCTGTGATTTTTTTCTTGAGCCTATTGCCTTGGATACTAGTGGCCCAGGGTCAGAACAGGAGTTTAACACAGCTCTATTTCATTAATTATCAGAAATGCCAAGTATAGCAGTGTTTTCCAATAATTATCTTCCTTGAGGCAAATCCCATTCCTCATAATACTTAAAGTTGGGCAATGTAGTTTCTACCTATAATTAAAGAAAAAACGATTAGACTTTTGAGCTTATTCCTCTATTCAGTCTCTTGGAGATAACACTGTAGCCCATATACCTAGGAGTGCCCCATTTGGTTTACAGCCAGCTGGTGCTGCTGCATCCTGACTTGTGGTTTCTGCAGGGATCATTTATGTTGGCCACTGTTGACAGAGATCTGAACATTCTTTATGGGATTTTTAAGTCTATAAAGTGAAATATGCCTGCCAGCCTCTCTGCTAAATTAATTCCTCCAAAATTATATATATTTTAGAGCCTTTTCTGAATCAGTCTTCCAAAAATTGTGTAAAAAGACATAGAAATCAGAACAAATTGTAAGGGTGAGACAGGTGGAAATTACTGGAAGCCAAAGAAAATAGGTGGAATAAAAAGGAACATGCATTAATTTAGTCCATCCAGTGTTCCTTTTGTCTCATCTCCAGTTGAAATGGGAAGACATAGATTACATGCCATGCTATGGGGCCAAGACTTGGCTGACAGAACAAGTAGTATCTGGCACTATGGATTATTTCTACTGACAATTTCTGACTCCAGGTCAACAATATTCCCAGAGATGTTGAAGTTAAGTGATGCCTGCTTCCCATAATGCTTGAGAAGGTCTCTCTGGCTCCTCTAACATGCTTTTCAGAATAGCTGAAGCTATGAAAGGTTCTCTTGCTATTATCGATTATCTTATGCTGTATTTTTGTTCACCCGTTGTTTATTAACTAGTAATGCGAATCAGTGTCCCTGAAAGAAGGCCCTAGAGCTGTTCATCTGACTTTGGCATAATAATAATAATAATAATAAGTTCTGATTTTCCCATCCATGCAGGTGTCATTCTGGGGGCAGTCTGTGGAGGGCTGCTTCGCCTGGCCTCTCCCCTCCACCCTGATGTGGTGATGTTAATAGCCTTCCCAGGGGATATCCTCATGAGGATGCTGAAGATGCTCATTCTCCCTCTCATCATCTCCAGCTTAATCACAGGTGAGACTACGTCCCTATGCCTGGCCAGAGTGTCTGCATGTTGGATTGACTGTGGTACTTGTTTGCTGAATAAATAAATACGATTTTCTGTGTCATTTCATTGGGGAACCATGGCTTTCTTGTCTCTAAAATGAGGATAATTAGATTAGGTATTTAACTCAGCTATTGAGATACCTATGACCTGCATACAAGTACTGGAGTTGGATTCCTAGCTCCAGACCCTGGAAGGCAGCAGTAATGGTTTAAATAATTGGGTTCAGGACACCCTATGGGAGACTTGGATTGAATTCTCAGCTCCTAACTTCAGCCCTTGCCCATCATTAGTTGTTTCAGGCATCTGAAGCACAAAATAGCGACTGGGAACTAAGTGCTAGGATACGAAGCTGGGCTTTGGTCCATATTTAGGTGCCAGGGACCTAAGTAATCTTAAGAAGTTGATCCTCTGGAGTGTGCACCCCATGGAGGAAGTGAGAATACATTAGCTCTGGAACACCACAGAGTTCTACAGTCTTTTTGTAGTTGACATGTGAATGCAGTAATTGAAAGCTCTGGGACTTATTTTACTTTTGAAATTAAGTTCTTTTTAAAGTTCTAGCATTTAGGAGCTTATCAGGGTCTTATTCAGCCTTAGGCTGAGTGAGTGCATGCTTTTTACATCCAATGCTCCTTGCCAAGCCAAAGAGGACATTCTCTGTGCCTATTTAGCAGCCAGTACATTGGCTAATCCAGTGTGGAAACATGTATCCATCCACAGGCTAGAATTAGACCTTAGGTTGTAAAGAGAGGTAGACTATATGTGGATCAGCTAAATTCAGAGTCCAACCCTCAGAAGAAAAGAGTGATCTTGAAAGTGATTTGGTCTCTGCCTAACATGAGCAAGAACTGAAACCAGGAAGTGGGCACACTGAAGAAAGAACTTGGAAAGAAAACCCAGTGGAGGCTGGAGTTTTTGTGACTGGCTTGGGAGTTTCTTTAACCTCTCAAAGTGTAGATGAAGCACTGGCCACTGGCAGAGAGCCTTCCACACATGCTTTACACATGTGTTTTCTAATGCCACACAAGGCGGTGCAATGTGACTGTGCTTTCCGCTTTGCCTGGGAGGAAGTGGGCAGCTATGCTCCATCACTACCCTGCCTCAGTGTCTGTGACTAATTGTGCATTCAAAGGACTTTGAGAATGTGACACTGATCTTTAAGGGCCTTAAAACGTAAGTCAATTGATAAAAGCACAGCAGATCTCAGTACCACCACTTCATAAAAGACAGGATATCTTAAGACCAAAAAAATGAAAACAGGGGCCAGCATTGTGGCAGAGTGAGCTAAGCTGCCACCTGCAATGCAAACATACCTTATCAGAGCACCAGCCTGAGTCCCAACTACTCCTTGTCCAATCCAGCTCCACTTTAATGTGCCTGAGAAGGCAGTAGAAGGTGGTCCAACATCTTACATCCCTGCCACTCATGTGGGAATGGAGCTGAAGACTCTTAGTTCCAACCTGACACAGCCCCAGCCATTGTTGCCATTTAGGGAGTCAGCAAAAGGAAGCTCTCTCTCCCTCTCTCTCCCCCTTTCAAATAAATCATAAATGAAAAGAACATAATTTTAGAAGAAATGTGAGAGCATACTGACATTGACTTAAACTCACTATTGAAAAGTGTTTTTTAAAAAGGCGGGATTATCTGTGAACTCTGAACTGGGTGATCCTTAACTCTCCCTAGTTGTCTATAACCTCTAAAATATCCTTGGAAAATAGAACTGTAGACTGTAGGACTGATAAGATATTCATTTGTAGATTTAATTAGCCATAAATGCATTTAAGAAACAAGAAGCCAAGGGTTAGAAATTGTATAGATGGATGAGCAGTAAAAAACTATTATAATGAACTCTTTTGGTTCTTTTTGACCCAGGTTTGTCAGGGCTGGATGCAAAAGCGAGTGGTCGATTAGGCACCAGAGCCATGGTGTACTACATGTCCACGACCATCATTGCTGCAGTACTGGGGGTCATCCTGGTCTTGGCTATTCACCCTGGCAACCCCAAACTCAAGAAGCAGCTAGGCCCTGGGAAGAAGAACGATGAAGTTTCCAGCCTGGATGCCTTCCTAGACCTTATTCGAAATCTCTTCCCTGAAAATCTTGTCCAAGCCTGTTTTCAACAGGTAATCCCAAGTTCTAATGCTATCTCTTGCCCAATCTTCTAAAGCATAGAGCAATACTTTGGAGACTGTTTCATCACACCAATGCTGGGTAGCAATTTTCTTGATATTTAATTGTGTCTGGCTCAGTGGTTGTATAATGTGGTCGTGGGCAGGATGTTGAGATTAGAATCACTTGGCTTTCTTTCTCCTCGTGAATTGACTACATAGTTTGCTTGTCTGTTTCTCTCTTTTGTTCGTTTATCACTTCCTTTTCTTTTTGTTTCTGAGTCGTCCATGGATGCATTTTTATCAACCTTGCCCACAATCCTGTGAGCTTATTCAGTGATTCTCAAATTTGGCATTTGACATAGAGGTTAAGGTGCTGGTTAAGACACCTACATCCCATTATGACATAGGAGATTAAGCTGCTTTTGATGATGGAATTTCACATCAGAGTGCCAGTTTAACTTCTAGATGTTCTGCTTCAAATCCAGCTCCCTACTAATGTGTCTGGGAAAACAGCCCTGATCATCAACATGAAAAACTTAGATGGAGCTCCAATCTCCTGGCTATTTGGAGAGTGAACCAACAGGGGGAAGGGTCCCTCCCTTTCTCTCTTTCTGCCACTAGTTCTCTCTGCTTCTCCTTTTCTGTTCTTCTGACTTTAAAATAATTTTAAAAAATCATTTGTTGAAATAAATATCCACACCCTCACAGTGGAGATCCTGGATTCAATTCTGAGCTTTGGCTTCTTACTCTAGCTCCCCACCAGTGCAGTTCCTGTGAGGTAGTGGTGATGGTTCAGCTGACTTCAATAGTCCCTGCTGTACACATGGGAGACACACACTGAGTACCAAGTTCCAGGCTTCAGCCTGGCCCCATCCCAGCTGTTGTATGCATTTGGTAAATGTACTAGAGAGTGGGAGATCCTTGTCAGCCTGTTTCTCTCTCCTTTCTCTCTCTCCCTTTCTCTCTCTCTCTCTCTCTCTCTCTCTCTCTGTGTGTGTGTGTGTGTGCACGTTCATGCCTCTGCCTCTCAATTTTGAAAAAAAAATAAATGCCATTTTTGCAAGGAATGATAAGTGTGTGAGGTGAAGGATCTGTTCATTAAACTTAGATTGTTACGTCTTGTAGACGCATATTGAAACATCTCTTTTTATTCCACCAATATGAATTATTATTATTATATAAATTAAAACAAAACTTTAGAGATGTGAAGTGCTCTTCTGGTGGCACATAGACCATAGACCTATATTGAAGGTTCTTGGGCAGGTGGAGTGAGATGGAGTGGGCTGGAGGTACTCCCTGCAGTCTCCTCCATGTAATGTGCCTGCTCTGTAGCCAACCTGCATAGTGTGGAGCCTTTGCTTCCCTTGGAGCCTCTGGACCTGAAGCTCCGGGGAAATAAAGTAGAAGATGACAAAGTAGGGACACAGCTCCTGCCTGTACCGAGTCATGAAAGGAGACACCCTTCTCAGTCTGAAGGCAGCCCGAGGAAGCAGGCAGGGATTAAGGGTCATTAGGAGTTATTGTTCTGGCCTTAGAGGAATAGGCAGTATTGACCATGCTCTTGATTTCTGGGCATTCTTTACCTACAACTGCCTATTGCAAAAGGCATCATCTGCTACCCTGGGGTAGAGGGTGAGTCATTTCTTGCCCCATTTCTGACCTGATCCCACCCATTCTCTGGAGAAATTCATATAAGGGTTAGTTTCACATCCTCAGTCCCAGGTCAGATATAAACTTCCTTCCAGGCTAGGGAAACCTGAACAATAATGGTAGAGAATAGAATAATTTAGCTCAGGGTGACAGTGGATTTAGATTCCTTAAACCTGACTCGCAAACTTTGAAGATGACTTGGGGAGTGAAAACTATTCTAATAGAGAGGCATGGCATTGCCATGGAGAAGGGGTCATGAATGGTCTCTTGTGTCCATTGAAGCACAGTTGACAGTGATATAAAATCACCTCTTCCAAGAAAAGGGAGTTTTCTGACTGGAATTAGAGAGAGGTGCCCTGAGCACAGAGCGAAGACTGCCTTAACCAAAGTGCAGCATCTGCCTTGTCCAAGTGAGGTGCTGAGTCATTGAGAGCAGAGAGGTCTCCTTCATACTGTTTGGGGCTGGCTCGAAACTCAGGCTGAGGATTCCATGAGAGGAGCCAGCTGGAAGGTGCAGCCTGACAACATTAAATCAAACCGAGTCATGCAGACCATGTGGATCGCTTTCTTACAGGGAGTACAGTGATGTGTATCAGATACTTCAAATACTTTTTGAGAAAATGATACTGAAACATAAGGTGACTCGAGTGCAAAAGTTTGGAAATCCATGAATAGCTTTGTTTTTCTTTAAACTGTGTTTTTCATGAACTTACTCGAATACTCTCATGTAGTTACCTGGGTGGCACTTGTGAGGAGGATTATCAGTAGAGCCCTTTGTCCTGCACAAAAATTCAATAGGCAATGATAAAGATAAGATTTGTCCTCCATGCAGCTTACGTACTTTTCAGGGGAGTGAGACCAAAACAAATATTGGGTAAACATATAGCTAAAGTTACAGGAATCAACTCATCTATAGATTGTAGGTAGCTAAGAAGAAGGGAAGGGAGGTGAGTCAGAAGGCACCTGCAGGTTGGAGTCAGCACCCAGATTGTCCAGTGGTCCAATCTAAATAGGCTTTGATGAAGCACTCAAGCAGAACTGAGTCTTGCTCCCATCACTTCAGTTTCAACAAAAGCTAATGGCCCGTGTTAATCGGAAGCTGAGTTTTGGTGTCAAACATGACTCCTTTTGAATCATGTTTCAGCACTACCAATGTTTTCTTTGCTAAGTTGGTTAACCCTGGGAGCCTTGGTAGGTTACTGCAGCTGTAAAAGGTTACAGTTATGAAATCTTCAGCACCTAGTCTCCTACCTCACCCTGGCCCATTTATTTAGGTCACAACCACTACTTTGTTTAACCTAAGTTCTGGCTTTGCGTTCTCAGGATAGGTCAGCAGTTGGTTTTGATTCTCTCTCTTTGCCTGGATGATTCTGTTGCTGATGAAAAACCTCTATTCCTATCACTACTGTGTCCTGTCTTTGTCTCAGTGTTTCCCAGACCACAGGTGACAATGAACAGCCTGTTCTTCCTGCAGACAAGCAGCTCTGGACTTCCTCCCTCCCTGCACAAGTATACATGGCCAGAACACAAGGCACCTGTCTCATTTGAGAGAATGCTGACTTCCTTCTCTGCCCTTTTGGGTCATGTATCAGTGATGTTTTTTATTGGGCCCAGCTACAGTAGGATCAGGTCCACATAGCTGGAGTCCCAGTTTTGCCAATAAAGCTGTAGTATCTGACAAAACCCTTGACTTGAATTCTCTTCCACATTTATTCAGGGTTTTGCAGGCACTGACATTCTAGGATTCTGTCTAAGTTCTGTTTTCATGCCCTTGGAGGTGGATTGTCACAGCGCTTTGCAGGCACGGTGCCTGGCACTTTTTAAAAATTGGGCCATGGTGATGGCTGTCGAGGAATGTGTGATGGGAGTCATCCATACAAAGATGTGCAGAGACCACTAAGTGAGGCTTGCTTAGCAGCCCTGCCAAGAAGGAACATCTTGCATCGGGATCTAAAATGTTAGTAACTTCTCCTTCTGTGATGATGGCTGGAAGCTGGCACAGCTGGTACCCTCATGGAGATGCCCAGCGGAGTCAAACAGGGTCTCAGAATTAACCTGTGATGACTCTGTCTGATATGGACCAGGGAGCAAGAAAAGGTTTGGATAATTGGTTGCCGATCTGATGCCTATCATGTCCTTTCTGTCCTGGAGCAGACCTAATGCCCATCACAGGGATCTTGGAAGACCACTTAATAACTGTCACAACTATGTGGCACATTCAAGTTAGATGTCTGATATTGCCCCCTGAACTGTAATCATGGGGATGAAAGAAAATACCACCTATTTCCCAAGTCTAAACCCGAGTTCCTTTGCTGGACCGTGCTCCATGTAGTATATTGACAAATTGACTTAATACATGTTATTTTGTAATTATGACAATTGTATCCCACTGTGTGTGCAGTAGATCATTTTGTTAAGCATAAACCTATAAATATTTTCCCAACTCTTATAATTTGTTTGTGGCATTTCTTAATTATTTTTAACATTCTGGGAAACTTGATAGATGAGGATCTGGTTTTTGTTGACTTTTTAGATAACACTTTATCTTCATGCTTTTTTCTTTTCACTGCATTAGATTCAGACAGTGACAAAGAAGGTCCTGGCGACTCCTCCATCAGACGAAGAGGCCAACACAACCAACTCAGTCATCTCCCTGTTGAATGAGACTGTGACAGAGGCACCTGAAGAAACCAAGATGGTTATCAAGAAAGGCCTGGAGTTCAAGGACGGGATGAATGTCTTAGGTAGATTCACTGCTCCATCTCCTTGGGAAAATATCTTTGCTGCCCTGACAGTGGCCAGCCTTTCCTGTGTTATCTTCTGTCACTTCATCTCAGCTCCTCCACCTGCCTCACACCTTTCAGAATGTGATGATGCTGTTGTCCTGTAGGTGGAGCAGGAGGCCTCTTTGGGGAGTTTAAGAGGCTCACTGGGACTGAAGCTGAGCTGATGAAGGAGTGGGCAGAAGAGAGGCCTGGAGGGCACATGGTGACTAGAGGCTAAGTATGTGAAAAGAGGAGAAGCTGATGATGTTTGTTGTGCACAGTCCCTAACCCAGTGGGGCATTATGAGTCACTTTCTCTAACTCAACATTTACTTAAGTGACTCATCCAATCCTTCCACTTTTAAGCACTTTTATTTTTATTTTATTATTATTCTTTATATTTTGAGCTGCCCTTGTGTCCCAGGACTATGGCAGACAAAGGGGCCTCCTGCACAGCTCTCACATTTTGGAAACAAAAGCAGAGCTGCACATGTTGTAAAGTGTTGGTGCTGGGACCAGAGTATTGTTGTTTGACTTGTGTGATTTCAGTGGACTTTACTGCCAAAGCCTGGTGCCTTCCTGGGGGTTTGTTTGGCTTTGTGGTTGGACGGACATAGGTTTGGGTCCTTTTGAATGCTTACTGCTTATCTGGCCAGGAGTAAGTGGTTCCACTTTCCTGAGTTTCACTTGTACAACAGAAATGGGCTTGGCATCTGCTTTGTAGATTGTTGTAAGGATTGAAAGAGACTATATATAGCAAACACAGTATGAGAACAACACAGAACAAGCCCTGTGCTTTAGGAAATTAGTTATGATCATGATGGAAGCAGGTGGAGAATTGAGGAAATCAAAAATAAAATATACTCATTGGGTCCCATCATATGAGGAGCTCCCCACTCATCCACTGATGGGAGAGTCACTGTTGCCATAGCCACTAACTGCCAACAAGTGGCATCCCCAACACAAGGAAGGGACATTTGTCCCTGTGTTAGGAGAAACGGGGAACTTGAACTTCCAAGCAACATTTCTAAGGATTGTTGTTAGAGCTTTTATAATTAGATGATCTCAGGTGTCCTTCCCTTGTTTCCTTGATTGAGTTGCCAGATAAAACACAGGATATCTAGTCAAATTTAAAGTTAAATGATAATTATTTTTTTATTGTAAATACAATGGTACTTCAAATAGATCATGGAAAAAATGGAGTAAAAGAGTATGTGTACTTTGATTCCAACATTTTTACGCAAGCACATTTTTGAAGATCATGCACAAATTTTTAACTATATAGAAATGTATGTGTATATATATATGTATAAACATGCATATACACACGCACATATATAAGTTTTGTAAATTATCTTTCTGTTTGTCAGATATTGTATGGAACATACTCATAATTTAAAAAAACCACCAACTGACTGAAATTCCTGTTTGTTTTAAACTGGAACACTCCTTCTAACCCACCCAGAATGGAAGTGAGAAGGAGGCAGAGGGAGCAGAATTGCCAGTCTGAGAAGTAGAAGTGGATCTTTCTGTTTGGCCTGGGAGGAAGCAGGTTGGGTCTGTGAGAGAGAAGATAAGCTGACCGAGGTTGCCAGGCAGTGGAAGATCAATAAACACTGTTAACAATCAGTGAGAGCTGAAAGAGGGAAACAGAAGAAGGAGAGTTCCTCTAAGAAGAGGTTTCACAAATATCAGCATTCGCCTCCAAGCAGCTGTTTGTCCCAGCGCTCAGATACTCATAAAATTTTCCGGTCTTTCCCAACCCCTGCATCCTGGTCCTATCTGGTAGGTCATAACTAAAGACGCACCTCCCTTTTGTGAGAGTGCCTCCTCTGCTTTCTGCCTGTTCCGGAGGCCATTGAAGACCATGCATAGCAGGGTCAAGGTCTTGCAGTGAGTCATAACAAGACTTTCCTGGTTGTTTCCAGTGTCTTGGTGAATTCTGGGAAGTCACATGGCCTTTGACTGTATGGGGAGTTTCAACATAGCCCCAGTGACCAAGTCTAAAAGGGCTTTGTTCAAACGAATACCTGCCCCCCACCCTTCCATTCCAGTGAATGATTTCAATTAGGCAATGTTTACAAAGAAAAGTGACAAGTTGAGTATAGGTTTGCATCCAAGTGCAGATTAAGACTCTGGAAAGCCAAAGGGAAGTTAGACTGCTGAAAAATTCCCATTTTTAACAATCATGGCTGAAATAAGGTTCTTTCCATCTTCTTCCAAGGGTTGACATGGTGATTTTCTTGGTTGTTACTGCTGCTCTTTTTCCTCTTTTTCTGTTCTTTGACTTTGGAAAGTCCCAAGGATTAGGCACTGCAAGGAAGGAGATACTACTCTGTTTCTGGTCTTCCATTTTTTAAGGGCAAGTTTCCCCCCCAAAGGCATGTAGAGCCAATTCTGGGTGCTACCCTAATGGAAATGGGTAAAAACAATTCCAACTGCTCATTTAACAATCTTTGTCCTGTCCAGTTTCTACTGGTCCTTAGGACAGATTTTATTCCAATGCTTTGGTACTTGTGACACTTTGCATATTTTCTCTTAACATTTTTAAATGGAATTAACCAAGCAACGCTAGCTGTTCTCAGCCAGAGTGTTCATAGATTGATTCTTTTTCATTTTATTTCTAGCTAATATCTCTTGAACAGGTTTGAGCAAAGGAACTGAAGCTGATTTTGTTAGTTATTACAGTGTCAGCCCACTTTGTCTTGGATCTAATTTTTACTAAACCCTTATCTCTCCTGGGCCAATAACTCACTTGCAAAGTCATCTATCTATCTTTCTGTCCAAAGCTACAATGGGAAGGAATAAACACCAGGTATTAACAATGTTGAACACAAGTGCTGGATTCTTCTTGCTAAAGATAAAATGGGTCCAGCAAAGAACAGTTATGTTATCTAGGGTATGCAGAAGTTATCTGTTTAAGTGAAAATGGAAAGAGTCAAGTCAGAAGTTCATGCAGAAAAAATTCTCTTCTGAGAGAATAGTTAAATCATAATGGCATGATTTAACCTGTTACAGGTCAAGATTTCATATATAACTGGACAGAAGAAGAAATTGAGCATGATAAAGAGGGACTAGAAATTAAGCCAAACTGAGATAAGATGGATGTTGGGAAGAGGAAAGAGGGAAAGGAAAGTGGCTCTTCAGAGTTAGAGAAAAGTTCAGGTAATCAAGCAAAGCTTTTAGGGCATGTTGATCAAGTTCCAAGACTGGTAATCTTGGTTTAAGGGCCAGGGAGCACATGGAGATTGGAAATCAGAGATTCCAGTGGCCTCCAGGAAACATAGGAGGTATATCTGGCTGCATAGTGTGTGCCAGTATCTGCATGGATCAAGCTGAGGCTTAGGGAGGAGAATGGGAAGAAATATGGAAATAAGAAAGAAATAATCTTATGCCAAGAAAAAAAACTAGGCATAATCCTTGGAGAAGCTAAGTACAGGGCAGTTCCCAGGACCTCAAACACAGGGATTGAGGCAAAAATCAACAAGGAAATAAGACCAAAGGCTGAGTATTGAATTTGGCCCAATTTGATGCTGACATCAACAGGGTGGGGACTGAGCTCCTGTAAGTGTTCCTGCCTGGGGTTAGGATTACCCAAAGGAGGCTAGTGTGGGACTGAATTTAGATAAAAGTTAGGATGTAAAATGAAAACTAATGAATGCCGAGGAGATAGAAATTAGTATAATCTGACTGTGAAATCTGTTCTGTTTTTATAACCCTTAAAAAAAAATCATTACATTAAAAAGAAAGCATTCTATGAAAAGAATTACAAAGAATTTATAGGATACATTTAAACAAACTGGATAAATTGAAGTCTTCCAGATTGTTTGGATTTTTTTTTTTTACTGTTTTCTGCTTGATTTCTCAACATTTTTTTCCTCCTCTTATGTTAGGTATGCAGGGATAGGTAATTCTGCATTTAGGATTTTCTGATGAAATATGCCAGCCGTGTATTAATTTGGGTTGACAGCAAAATAATCTAGACATATCCCTAGCAGACACTAATCCCTAATTGGTTGCTGCTGCTCCAAAATTTGCATGATAATCTCCAAGTCCCTACAAGTCTTTCCTTGTTAATCTCAGTAACAATGAGCCATGTTTGTGCATGATTTCTCACTGTTTCCCAAGTGAAGGGGAAGAGAAGAGAGAAACTTTTAGTTTGTGTGAAAATGAGTTTATTTTCTTCAAGGTAATAGTACTGTTTAACTTATTTGCATGGAAAAACATTAAGGAAAGTCATTATCCAGTGAGAGGAGGTTGAAATAGAATGGTCATTTAATGCCTACTTCTTAGGTAACTGGTTGTGAGAATACAGATCCATACATTGGGAATAGTAATGACTGAAGGAGAAGAATCATAATTTGTCCTTCTGTGTAATGTGATTCACCCTACAGGTCTGATAGGGTTTTTCATTGCTTTTGGTATTGCCATGGGGAAGATGGGAGAGCAGGCCAAGCTGATGGTGGATTTCTTCAATATTTTGAATGAGATCGTCATGAAGTTAGTGATCATGATCATGTGGTAAGTAGGCTCATTCTACTTTATTTTAGTAAGGATGGAGAAAGATTTGAGTCTCTAAAAGCTTAAGGAGCACCCCTTTGCCCTAAATCAGCATGGACTAATCAAACAGCTGTCCGTAGAGATGATCAGAAAGGGGGGAAAATCTGTCCCTAAGGCAAGAGTCAACAAATTATGATCCTTGGGGTAAATTTGATCCACCACCTGTTCTTTGTGGGCTACATGTTGAGAATGGACTCCATGTTTTTACACAATCGTTTTACTCACACTGCATACTGTATACTGGGCACTGCAGTTCTGGAGGGTGGCAGTCTGAGATAAGCATGCCAGCATGGCTGGGCAGTGCTGAGGGCTCTCTGCCAGACTGCATATGCATGAATTCTTCATGTATCCTCACCTGGTAGAAAAAGAGTAGGGGAGCTTCCTGGGATTTCTTTAATAAAAACATTGTTTTCATTTATTCTAGCTGCTATAACAAAATATCTTGGACTGAGTAATTTGCAAACAATAGAAATTTCTTATTCACAGCTCTGGAGAATGGACAACCCAAGATCAAGGAGTTAGGGTATTTGGTGTCTAGTAAGTGCCTGTTGCTCAGAAGTGATCCCTTTATCTTGAGGGAGCACAGGTGAGCTCCTTCAAGCCTTTCTTATAAGGACAGTAATCCCATTTGTGGTGCTTACCTACCAGATGACCACTTCCCAGTACCACTACCCCAGAGATTAAATTTCAGCCTAGGAATTTGAGGGGGAGATAAAATAGTCAAATAGGAGCAAGCACCAATTCTCTTCTGGAAGCTTTACCCCATTACCTAACACCATTGCACTGGGGGTTAGAATTTTAATATGGGATGTTGGTAAGACATAAATTCTCAGTCCATTGAAATGACTGACAACCAACACCACCACAGCAAAAAAAAAAGGGGGGGCTGGCATTTGGTGTAGTGATGAAGAGGCTGTTTGGTATGCCCATGCTCAAGTTGAAGTCCTTAGTCCTACTCCTGGCTCTGCTGCTGCTTCCACATGCCCGCTAATGGCTAGCATGAGAAGCAGGTACTCAAGTACTTATGAGTTTCTGGATTGAGTTTCTGGCTCCTGGCTTCAGCACTGGCCCAGTCCCAGCTGTGGTAGGCACTTGGGAAGTAAAGCAGGAGATGGGTCTCTCTTATTCTCAAATTAATAAAAATCCACATATTTTAAAAACATCAGTAACAGAAAGCTACTCCATGACTCAAGAGAGTAATGTAAAATTCACACTGAAGTCCCCATCAATAAAGATGTTGAGGAAGAGCTCTTTGTAGTTGCTTATGTACTGCCAATGCCTGCTTTGTTGTATAATGGCAATTTTTGGTAGTCTCTGAAAGAATATAGACCAAATATCTGAAATATTTAGCATCTGGCTTTTCACATATAAAATTTGCTTGTCCTTGTACTGAAACTACAAGGAGATGCGTTTGGAAAACCTATCAATAATACTGAGGCTGGGATATAAGCAATGCAAAGTTAGAATATATTAGAGGTGCTAAGGTAAGCATGATCCAGCAAGCGTGGAAGAACTGCTGCTTCATTACTTTGATGTTCACAAGCAATGACTTAAACCTTGATTCATATGAAAGAGTAGGGTTGTCAGCCATGCCAGCAACAAGGAAATTCTAGAAGATTTCATAGAACTTTAAGTGCTCTTAGGAATTTTATTCAGATGGAAAGATGAGAACGTCATGGTCCACAGTCACTAAACTTCAGTTCCTTTAACACCACCATTGTCATGAAAATGAAGTCTGTCACTTTTTATTCTTGTTTCAGCTGCCATGATCCATGGTAGGTATTTCAGACCTATTGAATGTCATCCCAACAGGTGCAAAGATGAAGTATTATTCCTGCTTTATAGAAAGATGATTTGTGTATACAGCCAGGGAAAGAAAGAGCCAAAGTTTATATTCATTTCAAAAGCCTGTGTGGGTTTTTTTTTAACTTGTTTGAACATATTAATCCATGTTCATGTGTATTCATCCTCAATGGCTCTGAAACGCACAGTAGCCCATGGCATGCATGTCCACTTCTTTATCAGGGAAGCTGTGCCACTTCCTGTCCTTGGAAATTTCTAGTGTTCTGCATCTATCAGACAGGATGCTTTTCATTTAACACTAGGATGGTCCTGTATGCATGCCTAGAAAAAAATTACACCATTCAAACCAACCATATTGGTGTTCTATTTTCCATCAGAATTATAGGGTGCATATTCCCAATCTCAACACGTTCCTCCTTCCCCACTTTCCTCCTCAGACCCCTGTGGTATCTTCCCTCTCTTTATAGATGCCTTCCATTGAAACTCCAACTTCTTTTTTGCTGCTACAGATTGCTTCCCTTCCCTCTTCACAGGGCAAAAATATGCTTTTCATTTACTCTTCTCTTCCTAGAACCATATGTAGGGATATCATTGTGGCCAATTCTTAATAAAGTTCCAGGAATGAGGGAATAGCTAAAGGTCCCAAGGTTTCTGATCAAGATGTTTCTCATGATTTCATAAACTATATTTGATGGACCTGATTTGTTGACATCATTGCTTTGCTGTACATTTATAATGCAGAAAGCATGTTACTACGATGATTTTTTTTAGAATTGTTGAAATGCTCTTCAACTTCCCAGGTCATGCTCTATTTCTGAGCACTTCCTTTGAGTGAACATTGAACATAACATGAAGATGCTGTAAAAAGCATTCAAGTCCTTCAGATTTACCTGAGTGCATTGAGTACTTAACACACACTAACACCTAATGCAGAAAAGGATTAAGCATAAGGGTCTGCCCTTGTTTCCTAGAATTCTTAGCAGAGTGAACATCTCTGCTCTAAATACACTGCTTATGTTCTGCTGAAAAAGGCTAGTGGTATGGCCAAGCCAGGCAGAATTCTTCCTTCATCATTTCAAAGGAATGAGTCCTTGTAGGAAAAAGAATCTTCTAGAAAATCTGGTAAGTTGGCAGGGATGGGAAACAGTATGGATTACAAAACTTTCCATTTATGGAAATGACCACTCCTAAGACCTAGCATCATATCCCAGAAGATGAAGAACTGCTGTGAGACAGGAATGAGGTCTATGGAATGATTCTGAACAGCTGTTGGTGACCTCACCCAGTCAGAAGGGATCATAGAACATGAGATGCCAACTCCACACATTCCTTCCAGCCTTCAGCCACCTCGCCAGCACGAGCAGCTGATAACAGGTATGAGAAGATTAAACAGTCAGCCACTCTGACTCCTGAAAACTCAAACAATCGGAACATTTTTAATTTTCTCCATGTAGTAGTAAGAATAGTGATAATATCAAGATATAGCATCATGAATATAATTACTGTTAAATTATAGTTTTTGTGATGTTATGAGTTAGAATTATTAAAATGTTACATGCAAAGTATTATTTCAATGACTATGCATGTATTAAATTTATTATTTGGCAAATAATTTTTAGTATTGAAACATAAGCAAGACTTACCAAATTCCTATAATATGCTTAATATTATTTCAATTCCCTTGCACATATTAGCTAGCATTATTATTTCTTATAGAGTACCCAATGAAAATAGATACTTTTGTTAGTTCATTTTCCGTATGACAAGGCTAAGTACAGAAGCTGACTTCCTAGTACTATATAGAAGAAGCACCTAACCCAACTTCTGTCTGATGTCAGATTGCATTGAATTCAATACAATGTATACAAAGCTTGATCTCACAATCTATAAAGTGAGATGACTATAAAAGCCATATCATGGGGGTTACTATCAATGTGCTTTACATTAGCTAGTGTTACAGTCATTTTGTCACTATCATTATTGATGTCAATTTGATCCATATCTGCTGCATCTCCACGTTCATGGCTTAGGAAGCCTGAAAATCTTTTAGTTTTCACATAACTTTCCATATCCTCATTTTTTTTCTGTTATTCAAAATTATTTTATTCAAATCTGAAAAACCTAGATAGCATAACTTCCCATAGTCTTTCCCATAAAAACCTAAACTAAGAGGTAAAACGTTTCTTTAGCTCCCCAAGTTTCCCTCCAGCTAACTGTCGATGTTAAAGAAAAAGTAACCAATGACACTTGCTCAAACATCAAGAATAGTTTTTCCTTTCTTATTAATTTCTTCAATGACACATATGTCACACAGTAACGTTGTCTTCCCCAAGAAGGTTTTTGTTTTTATTTCTTCAGTGACACATTGGTCATTCAGTAACATGCTATTTTTCTTCATGCTGTTGTACATTTTCTATTTTATTTCTAATTTTACCTGTTTTTTCTTTCTTGCTCTTCTTTGCTAGTCTGAATAAGAGTTTGTTTTACTCATCTTTTAAATTTCAATTCTATTTATTCTTTTCTGTGATTTTTAGCATGTCTTGAAATTTACCCATTTTTTCTTCTTTAATAAGTTCTTGAGATGCATTATCAGATCACTTATCGGAGGTATTTCAAGTTTTTGTAAGCACCTGATGTGTATAAATGTCCTTTTTAATACTGTTTTTGCTACATCTCTTGGGTTTTGATATTTTTGTTTTTATTTTCATTTTTTCAAAAACATTTTCCCTTCTTGTTAGTCTTGCAGGGCATTTATATTGTTCTTCATGTAATTTTGATGTTTTTGAGCCAGTATTTCCAGGAACAAAACTCTCATTAGCAACTGAAAAAAACCATCTACTCCTTGGCTAACCGATGCAGTCTTCCGCATTATCTTTGGGCTATTAACCTACTAATCAATTAATTTGGGACTTTCAGGTTCAGAAAAGATGGGACACCAAAAACAGGCTGGGGATGGCCAGGCAGAGGTTATTGGGAGTTGCTCTGACTAGGTTGTAGCACCAGCTAGTATGCGTGAAGATGGCTTATGGAAGGCAGGGCTGAGCTAGTCTGCAGCAACTGTGAGTTCACATGAGAGATGGAGCTGCAGACAGAACTGACCAGTCAGCTGTGTCTACTGGTATGTGCATTTGTTGGTGCAGTGACCCTGCACTGCTGCTACACACAAGTCAAGTATGAAGTTACCCCAAATGAGAATTCTTGGGGCTCTCCCCAACTAGACTGTTAGACCCAAATCCTGGCCAAAAGGAAAATCACAAGATGTGATTTGACTTTGGAGTACATGAATCAGGATTGGGCCTCCTCAGTTGCTGATGCTTGTGCAGTGGACAGCATAGCCAGATGCACACAGAGGACAATAACAGCCACCTCATCTAGTCCAGCAGAAGATGCTAAGCGCCTGGTCAGAAAAACAGAACAGGTTGGACCACTCCCTTGGCCAAGCTTTGCAGCATGTTCCTGTGTCTGTGGGTGTGTTAAAGTGGACTTGGTCATCCAATAGACCTTGGAAAGATTTTATTAGCCCTGATGCAACGAAGCTATTGATGTCTCAGAACTATTAAAAACAGTCAGGAACACTTCCAGAGCACTGTTCTCCACATGGGAAGTCTCTATGATGACATCAAATGACCAGTCACCATCCCCCAGTGCTAAAGCAGTTTGAGCAAGGAACAACCCCTTTCCTTCCCCTTCTCCCCCCATCCTTCTCTCCCACCCTACCCCTTGCAGACACAGGAGAAGAGACAAACTGAAACAATTGTTCCACCCACCGTCTTGCATGCCTGATCCTCCCACCCTAACTGGAGGCCCCTATGGTGTGCTTCCCTCTCAACTACATAAACACTATTGAGAAACAAAATTTTTAAAATCTATAAATGCCTCAAGGCAAGCTCCAGGGAAATCTGACTGTAGGTCCCCATGAATCAGGGAATCTCCATTTATGGTAAACTGACAGATGGGTAATTGTGATACAGGTAAGTTTTGATTTGCAGAAATCCTGATTAAGCTCTAGTTAGGTCCGATGCTGTGGATTAGCCTATGCTTGTGGAGGGGTGAGCATCTCATGAGGGGCAGAATGGGACCCTTAGTGCATTAAGACTGATCTTCAAGGTGAGTAGAAGGTGAGACAATCAGATTTCAACATGCCAGTCTCAGATGAAATCAGTGGGCTTGACACTAGTGCAGATAGCTGAGAACATGCTGCCTCTGAGCTGTTCCCTCCCCTAAATCTATCAACCATGGCCTTCTAATCTAGAAAAGAGTCCACTAATTCCTGGGCATCATCTGGCTTTGGAACTTTCAATGGAGCTCTAAGCCTCCAGATGTGTTTTGGTGTTTGGCCTTGATCATGATCTTGGACCCTGAGCATTTGTCTTCTTTTTCCATGGAATGCCATCTTTTTTAAAAGGAAACTCATTGATGTGGAAACCCAGAAACTTGGAAGTCTCAGCTTAGATGAAAATTCAAGTTACATGTTTTAAAAAGAGGAACAGGAAATATGACTGTAAAGGACATCATAGAATGACAGCTCTTTCTTCATCTTAACTAATGCTCACATTGGGAGTGGTTGTGATAACCAGGGTTCTTGTTGACCATGCTTAGTAACCCAAACACTCCACCTTCCTCCTTTGACTAACATTCTGCATTTTCAATAGAAGTTCAAGCATTTCCCCAGCTAGCAGAGTGTTCAGGACTAAACCTAAACTGACTTCTCTTGAATCCATTTAGCTCTGTCACAGAGACTTTCTCCAGAGAGTCTCTGTAGTTAGTTCTCCTTGGCAAAGAATCCTGAAAACACCTTCTTTGATTCTCCAAATTGCTTGCCCTATAAAAAGTAGAACTTGAATGATAACCAAAAATGACCTGTGTTTATGTTTTGGGACAGCTTGGGGGTGATTGGGACTTGGGAAAGAACTGATCTCTTGGCTTATGAAGATAAATGGTTCTCAGCTTTATAGAAAGATGCATCATGTTCAGTTATTTACAATCTCAGAGACAAAGTATTAGTCCCTGAGACTGCTCTGCTGGGTTAAGAGATGCTATGAGCTGGGCACCAGGAGAACGTAGTGGGAAAGCAAGGGTTGAACAGCATGATAGGTTTGTCACAGACTTCCAGATGTCTAGAGAAGCAGCTGTCAGACATGGCCAGCCCACACACAAGGGAAAGGGGCAGTGGATGTTCAGGCCAGCTGCTCACCAGGAAAGTGAGTAACTATGCTGGTATATTAACTTGGTGGTGTCTGTGACAAATCGATTCTTTCAAGATAAGGTTTGCCATTAAAAAAATCTGGCACTGAGAATCATGTGAAATATTTTGCAAAACCTCAGTATCTCAGAGTTGACTCATTAAGTCTTGATGATGTGAGAACATGTGCGACAACAGGACCCCTGAGGGATTTCTCCTGTTGGGAGTCAGCGAGAAAGGCACTAACGGCAATGGGCATACATGTGTGTTCAAAAATTTCATCCTCACAGTTAGAGGTAGCCTCTCTGGACCTTGATGTTCATGTTTGTAGGGTGAGAATACTAAGATCTGGATGTGGTCTAGTAGCTTAGTTGCCAGTGTGTCGATGTGAGGTGTGGGGTGAGACCTCTAAGTGATGGGGCCTGGTGAGAAGTGATTGGACCATTTAGTGGGATCACTGCCCCAGGAGAAGTGACACTGATCTTGGAGCATTAACATCTGTGAGAAGGGGTGGCAAGTCTGGGCCTACCTATTTTCTGACTTCCAGTCTGGCCACTTGATCCTTCTCACACATGTTCCCACCATCACACTGTTGGCCATGAGATCTTCACTAGAGGCTAAGTCAGTAAGGCCACTTGATCTTGAATTTTTAGACTCTGAAACTTTGATCTCATCTCGTTGCAAATTATCCATCCCCAAGTGTTTAATTAGAGCAACAGGGGAGACCAGTTCAGGGGATAAGTCATTAGCCAATCATACAGCTGCTAAGTGGCAGACTAGATGGAGCTGCCTGTGTAAATCTGTTCCCTCCTTACCCCATAGTGTTTTTCTGTTTGTTTGTTTGGTTTGGTTTCTGTTTTTTTTTTTTTTTTTGCTTTAATCCAGGAAATGACTTGTCCAGGCAATTTAAAAAAAAAAAAAGGCAAGCATAAAAACTGAAAACAAAAACCGGAAAACAAAAATCAAAGTTCACCTTAGATATCCTACCTCTTTGCTTCCCTACTCTCTGCGGAGAATGCAAGCTTCATTTTCCCCACAATCTTTCTTGAAAAGATGTCCCTAGCTTTTAATCAGCTATCAATCCTCTTATTTTCATTTCAGTTAGAAACCATCACAAACTGAACAAATCCATGTCCAGACTGGATAATTTAGAACAGGGTATTGCCAAACATGGCAAAAACACACTGAAGATAGGAAACAACGAGTTATCCCCCCCAAATAAGGACAAAAATAATTTCCAAGCTCTCATATAGTAACAATAAGATAGAGATATGAAGCACATTTGTTTAGGGTGGACCAGTGTCTGGGGGTTGCCTGCTGATCTCCAAAGAGCTGAGATTGCTCACCTAAGGGATGTGGTTTGGTGTGGTGGGGGAACCCCTCTACTGTGGAATTTCAGGGACCATAAATCATTCTCTTACTTCCTTTTTTTTGTGGTCTTGACCTCATTATTTAACGTTTCTGAACCTCTGTTTCCTCGTTTGTGAAACAGAAATAATGATCTCTTAGATTTTAGGGCTGTGGTAAAACTGAAGGGAGGCAATTAATGTGTAGCTCTTGTCCATAGTGCTTGAAGTACAATGGATAGTAACTAGCGTTAATGTTAGACTAAGTGTGGAAAGAAATACTTTCGGACCTAGAGGTAATAAAACGCATGTTTCCCAGTGGACTTCTCGCTGGTTTTCTTGTTTTGGCCTCTCTCCCTTTCTCCTTCTACGCCCACCCTCCCTCACTCCCACCCACTCTCATGATTGTTCTCTCTTCTGACCCCCATTTTAAGATATTCTGAATCTTTACATGTGAAGACAACACACATTTGCACCCCCAAATTTCTGGATTCCCTAACGATTTAAAAGTTATGTGCAGATTTCTAAAATTTCTAGGAAGCAGCTGAAGATCTTACAAGTCTAACAAGATTTACAGAAACACATTTGTGTCACTTTTTTTTTTTTAATATTTACTTATTGGAGAGGCAGAAACACAGGGTGGGTTGAGAGAGAGTGAGAAATCACTATATTCTGTTTTATTCTCTTAAATGCCTTCATAACCAGGGCATGGCCAGATTGAATCCAGGAGCCAGAAATTCCTTCTGGGTCTTCCACACGGTTGAGAGAAGTCCACACCTGTGGGCCATCTTCTGCTGTCTTCCCAGGCTCATTACAAGAAAACTGGATCAGAAGTGGAGCAGCTGGTACTTGAGTCAACACTTTGATATAAGATGCCAGTATCAAAGCAGCAACTTAACCCACTGTGCTACAATGTTGGCCCCTCAACTTCTAATTTGTAGGTTATTCAGATGATGGTGATGGTCAAGCCGGTTTCTGTATCACTAAAACTCACATTAACAATGTTTGCGTTTGAGCTTCAATCAGAGCAGGCACCACCAGATGCGTGAAACAGATTTCTGTTAAGGCAGTTTGTCCCCAGGGGGGGAAACTATATCATCTATTGACTCTCAAGGCCCTTTCTCGGTAAAACTCTATGGAAAGCATTTTCCTCATGGTATGTAGGAGGGCCTGAGTTTAAATCTTGAGGCCCATCATAATCTGTTCAACACTGTTTTGTTCTTTTGTGTTTTTCAGGTACTCTCCCCTGGGTATCGCGTGCCTAATCTGTGGGAAGATCATTGCAATAAAGGACTTGGAAGTGGTTGCTAGGCAATTGGGGATGTACATGATAACAGTGATTGTGGGCCTCATCATCCATGGCGGCATCTTCCTCCCTTTAATTTACTTTGTAGTGACCAGGAAAAACCCTTTCTCTTTTTTTGCTGGCATTTTTCAAGCATGGATCACTGCCCTGGGTACTGCTTCCAGGTAGAGAACATAAGAAACCACCTTCTCCTTTCTTCCCCACCTCCCATTTTGCTGCTTACTATTTCTCAAACCTTCACACTGCGCACTTTGAGGAAAACGTTTTTAAAGTCTGGATCTTTCTAGGAACTTTTGAAACTTCAGGTGAACCTTTTTTGCTGATAAGAGACATACTGGAAATGAGATGTTTTTCAGATAAATGCATGCTATTAATTTGCAGATCTAATTTGCTAAAGATAGGATCATGTTGATTTAAATGGATTCCAGAGAATATTATTCAGTTAACATTCCACATGTGATTTGGAAATTTCTGTCATAAATATCGCTTTATCTAAATTTTGGAAAACAAGATTATAAACGTAGAACAATCATCTGTTATCAAGTTAGTGGCTCCTTCAGGGAAGTTTTTCAGACAAACAGAAGACAACCAAACCTTGGCATGAGCCTGTTGACAACTGATCAGGGAAAACAGGAAGAATCTCAAGTATCTGACCTTATTCTTAGCAACTTTGAAGATGATCATATGGTCTTTGAAGTTGCAGCCAGAAAACCACATCAGGATGCCAGCCTGTTCACACAGGAAAGCTTTGACATTCTCTCATCCAGCTTAGAAGGGTTGGGTCTTTGTAGGGTTTTGAGACACAAGCGTAAAGCCCATCCCTATTTTCATGTCTTTCCAATCACTCGTGAAGATACATTCAATGGTCTGTAGATTCTTGGTGGCATTTTAGAGAAATGCCTGCTGGAATAAAAGTATAATGCATGGCAGCGATTGCAGAAGTGTCCTCATATTCCTATGATTGAGAATACCAGCTGCCAACTCATGACTCAGTTGCATCAGAAAGATCCCAGGGGTTGGAAGAAACATCGGTGAGAGGAATAAAGGGGCCACTAACTTCTGAAAACAGCTGGGGCAGCAGCCAGGTTCCAAAAGAACCCCTGCTCATGACCAAACTAGACTCCAGATCTTTCCCTGGGTTTATAAGATTTCCATAATAAGATATCCCCAAGCACTGATTTCATTTTCCCATCTAAGATCAAGAAGACACGATACAGTATTCTGACCCGAAACCTCAAAGAATGCTCTAGCAAAATGACTATGTCTTCTTTAAGTTGTCAGGAGGAATGTAGGGAGATATAGGAATCCCCATTTTTTAAAGATTTATTTATTTTTATTCGAAAGGCAGATATACAGAGAGAAGGAGAGACAATAAGATCCTCCATTGCTGATTCACTCCCCAAGTGGCTGAAACAGCTGAAGATGAAGCTGATCTTAATCCACAACCTGGACCTGGGTCTCCCACATGCGTGCAGGGCCCCAAGTTTTTGGGCCGTCTTCTATTGCTTTATCAGGTCATGAGCAAGCAGCTGGATGAGAAGCAAGGTAGCCGGGATTAGAACCAGTGCTCGTATGGGATCCCAGCGTGTGCAAGGCAAAGACTTTAGCCACTAGGCTACTGAACTGGGCCCAGGAATCCCCAGTTTTTAGTTCCTTTGTTTCTTGGGCCCTGATATCTATATTTGATTGAGCATCTTTATAGCTGATGATCTTTTCCCATTGTCTCAGGAGTTGAGACATATGCAGCATCTGTGTCTAGCCTAGTTGTACCTCAGAACTAATCAGTTAAAAATAGCAATTGTGACTGGTGTTGGAAGTACAAGAGAGAAAACACCTACAAAGGCTGTCTTTGGTTCCAGACTCAGTGTACTGAGGTTTTCACAGAATGATGGACCACAGAACACTCCCCTAGTTGTTTGAGTGCTCTGCATTTCTTTCTGCAGAGCATAAATTTTGAAGCAACCCAACCTCCCATGCACTGCTATCTGCATGGAAATAATACTCTGGCTTCCAGGAACCTTTGTCCTTGCAAATCCCCTACTTTTGAAGGCAGGAGTATGTCAGGAATTCTCATCGTGTGGTCACTAATCACTATTCTGCACCTGCAAGGAGAAAGAATGAAGTTACACCATTTTGTGTCTGCTTATTGCTGAGAACGTGCTTTTCTGCCCTTATAATAATAAGTTTGGGTGATGACCCCGTATCATGAAGGAAGGCTGTTTCTGAGGCTTTCCAGGGAGTTGCTAAAAATTTGTTTCATGCTGAAGGGTGGGTGCTGAGGATGGTTGTCCAACATCTCCAACATCAGCAGGGCCATCCCTAGGGACTGGACTCCATCCATGCAATCAGATGTTATAAACAGCATTTTGAGCCTGAAATTCTAGGTCATTCAGACATTGTTCATTTTAGTTCACTGTTGCCAGGTGATTCTTTTTTAGCACAACTGTTCTTACAGCCCAATTAATATGGACAATCAGACATACTACAATATTTAACCTAAGGTGGAAAAAGCAGCCAAAAGAAAAAAGCAACTTGAAACTCTGAATGCAAGTCAAAGCTCGGAGCCAACAAAAATATTCTGTTGCCTATTAGCATCTTAATAAAACTGATTTTTTTAAAAAAAAAATTGGCTCCAGAGTCTACTTTTTTGTATGTCACATTGCTTTATGGGAACAAAAGAACAAAACCTGCATTAACATTTCGCTTGTGCTTTGTCCTACTTCTCTAAAGTGGACATAACTCTCTCTGTCTGTGTCCTTTAGTGCTGGAACATTGCCTGTCACCTTCCGTTGCCTGGAAGAAAACCTTGGGATTGACAAGCGTGTGACCAGATTTGTCCTCCCTGTTGGAGCAACCATTAACATGGATGGTACAGCCCTTTATGAAGCAGTAGCTGCCATCTTCATTGCCCAAATGAATGGAGTTGTTCTAGATGGAGGTCAGATTGTGACTGTAAGGTGAGTGAAATAGGGAAGGAAACCCCGAAATAACCTCCTGACACTGCTCCACTTTGCACTTTGCGTGGAAGCCACTGGAATTTCAGTTCTCTGGGTAGAAGGATGATGAAGAAAATTGCAGACGAGGAGCTATTGGCAAGTTTCAGAGGAAGAAAAAAAGAAAGACTGTGGCAGGAAACAAAGGGCCTTTGGCGTCTATGGTACATGTCAATGAACTTCAAAAATCAGGTGCTGTTTGATGTCTGACAATCCTGTGATGTTGGTAGAATGATTACTTCTAAGTTCACTTAAAAATGAGGAAAGGCAGATTCAAAGAAGCATAGTAGTTTGTCTAAGGCTCCACCATCGGTAATGAGCTGGTAGGGCTGTGACTGGGATTGACATCAGTTGATACTAAATCTAGTTTTTCTTTTATTGTATCATGCTCCCTTCAATATTCCACAGGGCAATAGCAGAAATGATGACATATTGGAACAAAGAGAAGCCTCAGTATAGCATACTTCATTAAAAATAAATACTGTATATTTTTGTTTTTATAAAACCTTTATTTTTCACCATGTAAAGTCATCATTTTAAAAGAGTCACAAAATATGCTGTCAGAAAACGTCATTAAAAACACTGCTTCTCTGTAAACTGAAAGATTAGACCTACCAGTCCAGACATTTGATGGCTTCTTGTTTAGAGGCATTGAAAACAGCAATCTTCAAACCACTCAATGTTGCATATTCATTATGGCATGATGTAAAAGTCTTTACAATCATTACTTTAATTTGATCACTCTCGCTCCAAATACAAACTTCAATTAAGCCTGAAGATAGTATCTGGCTTTAATTCAGAAAAATGAAACAAAACAAAACAGTGAACCAGCTCTATGGCTTTCTCTATTCATGTGATCTCCCTGTTACCAATATCTCAATTTCTTATGAGGAAAGTATGCAAAATCATAATTAGGGACCTTGAATTGGTAACTCATGGGCTAAAATCAGTGTGGAATCCTGCTTTGTTTGCCTTTTAATATAGTACAAAAAAAAAAAACAAATAGAATTTTTTTCTGTCTTTTCTTGTAGGGCACATGTCATTCAGTCCACCACATTACCCTCTGTGCCCTATTATTTATATCCGGCCTGGTTTATCTGCCACCACCGGCTCTTTAAAATGGCTTAGACTTTAGAACCTGTGAGGTGACAGACCCTTTGCATGCATTGGCCTTGAATATGCTTGAAAGTCCTGAAGAGAAGAGATAGAGACATTGTCGCCATTTTGCATGGGAGGAACATGAGGTGGTGGGATTCACTTGACACGCCTGGGCTGTGGATCAGATGGATATGGGTGCTAGTAGCACAAGTTGGATCTCTGCTGCTTAGCCAACTTGTTCCACTATGTCATCCTCGCTTTCTGGTTTTGACCCAAAGAAAGATTTTAGAGTCCTATGGTTCTCTCCTCCTTCACTGGGCAATGTCTTTTGCATCCAAGTTAAGGTGCTAGTCTTTCCTCTATAAAACTTCAAACCAGCCAACACTATTAATCTTTACATTAGGGATTTTGGCAATAATATGGTATAGGGTTGACTCACAGCATTCAGCAGTTCATTCACCGGGAGGACATTAGTGGTCCAGAGTTATTTCAGCAGATTCCTGACCAGGTTTATTCATGTCTGATTTCTCAACATGATGAAAATCTGAAAATGTGCAAATTTGCTGACTGATGGTTGTTTGTAGTGAAGCTGAAAATTTTCACTGGTCATGTCCTGTGTGTGTGTGTGTGTGTGTGTGTGTGTGTGTGTGTGTGTGTTTTATAGTGGATTCTGCAATGGAATGACCACATCAGAGATTTTTTTTTTGGATTGGTCTGGCTTTGAGGTCTTTTGCCAGATCAAGAACATGTTTATTGACATACAGACTTCCCATCTCTCTTTACAACCATTTCAAAAATTATATGCATCCAAGCTCAGTTCAGCAACCAAGTCAGCAAGCAAAGCTTAGCATGCTTTACTATCTATATGCACAGGAATAAGGAAAAATAATTAGTGATAGTTACATTTTTTGAATCAGAATTACCATCTGAAACTTTTCTTTTTCATCTGCTAACTTGTTGAATGATGTCATCCAATATAAGTAAGGAAACTGAGATGCAAAGAATCCAGCACACACTACCTTTCAGAGGGAGGTCCAAAATGAGGTTTCCAGATGCTGCTGGAGGTTTCCATTTACTCAGCATCTTAACTTGTGATCTAAGAAACAGCCCTAGAAAGCAACTGTTGGGGTCTGTGTTTTACAGCTTGGAAAGTTAGGAGAAAGGTAAAGTAATTCACACCAGCTCACACTGTTTCCAAGTGGTAAAAATACGATTTGAAACCGCACCACCTAACACTGAGGTCTGCGCTTTCAGACATTGTATCTATACGATATGCAATATCCTGTACCCTCAGGGGGTGCTTATTTCCTTAACTGACTCTCACGCCACCCTATGATGTATGTACTGTAGGAGAAACTCAGTTTTCTCATCTGTAAAATACAGACTGTTACCACATTGTCTAGGGTGTTTGGAGACGTAGCTGTGCTTAGTTCACAGTCACTTGTCAGTAAATACTACTAGTATTGTTGTGTTTCTTGGTGGTCAATAAAACACAACACCTAGAATATTAAAAGTGTGGCAGTGACATTGTGAACACCATGATCTTACTGACAATGGAAAACATGTTTCATGCCAAAGTATCAGACCCCCTGGGTCGTGTCCTTAAAGATATGTGTCATAGGGAGCCAACATTCCTTGATTTTAAAAACAAAGAGGAAAAGGTTCTTTTCTATGTAAAAATGATTTCTGGGCCCTCAGTTCTTAGTTTTGGTACTGTACTGGTTTATGCTTCCCACTAGGTTCACACTCTAAGCTGGGAAATTAGTGATTGAAAATGGACCAGTAAGAGATTGAGATTATACCTGGATTATTCAAATGTGTCTACAGAGTTTGTTTTCTAGTAAGAATGATGCTACTGAGAATTTTCACTGGACAGAGGATGAAGTTGTCAACACGCATTTAATTATGTCTTCTGTCAAATTCAACCAAATCCTTATTTGTAGCTGTGACAGGAGCTGCCTCTGGAAGTGCACATAGCTTACTGCTTAAAACACTTCATGATGTGCTTCCAAGTAAATTCTTCATCCTTTACTTTTCTTGCATACAAGAAAGTAGTCACTGAGGAATCCCAACATATCTATTAGTTCATAGATTCAGTATAGGCTTGAAGCAGGAACACTAATATTCAAAATAGTGCTGAAATCAAGTAAATGACTGTCCAACTATCAGTTAATTCTTTCCTGTAAAAAAAAAGAGAGAGAGAAAATGTTAATTGTTAATTTAAAAGGCATAGTGACAGGGAGAGAAATCCTTCACTCTCTCATTCATTTGCCAAATGGCTGCAATCCCCAGAGCTGAATCAGGATGAAGCCAGGAACCAGAAAGTTCATCTTGATCTTTGATAATTTGTCAGAGATTCAAGTACTTGAGTCATCAACTGCTACTTCCCCAGTGCATCGGGAAGAAACTAGACAGAAAACAGAGCAGCCAGGACACAAGTCAAACACTATAATATAGCACCTGAGCATCTCAAGTGGAGGCTTAATTTGCTGCACCACAACAATCTCCACCCCAGCAAACCATTTTCAAGTTCTCTCACCCATGCAATGAACAGTTTCCTCCTGGGAAAAGAGGGTATTGCCAAATAGCCTTGTGCTTGCTGTGAGTTTTTGCTCCTATATTGTGCGTATAGTGTCTTGCACAACCTCTAGGCACCAGCTTAGAGTGCAAGCCAGTGCAAATGAGGCACAGCAGAAGAAGTGAGCGCATAAAGAGGAAATCACTGTCCAAGAGCTGTTGCAGGGTTTAGAATGCCACGGACACGCCTTCCATGGGAGGTGAGAGAATTACTGGAGTAGAGGAGCAAAGGGAGAATCTATTTCAAACCAAACCTTTCCAGGGTTTGGTCAAAAACAGCCAAAAACTAACCAGATAACATGGCTTTAGAGCTGAAGGACATGTTGGAGTGACTCAGGGCAGAAGCAGACTGTACTAAAAACAAACAGTGAAAGCCAAGATCATTGGAACCTGAGAAGTCCCCTTTCCAAGTTTGTCTTAGGGAAATGGCTGAAAATTCCCATTCTTCAGCTCTTGGGGCTTTAGGGTAATTTTCATTGCCTGTCCCAGCCCAGATGAACAACATACACCTGCCACGTTAGGAGTGGTGAGTTATAGCACATTTGGATTTTTTTTTTAAGTTTAGTAGATCTTGAAAGCCTATGATCAGCCCATGAGAGAGCACGACCATTCTTAGCTCATTTTGTGCAGGTGAAACTCAAGGCACAAGAGTGGGTGAGTTGGCCAAAGCCATGGCATAGACGAGTGGCAGAGCTGGGTTTTGAACTCAAGTCATTCAACTCCAGAAGCTGAGGTGATTACTACACTACATTTGCTGTGACCTAGATGGATTCAAGGCAAGTGTATTTCTCTACCCCCTGTAGCAGCTCCTCATGAGTGGGGCCAGTAGGTTTTGTAACCAAGGCTGGAGGAAGTACTTACCAATGATAGCCCTAGGGTGAAGGAGAGGAAAGCAGCTCAAACCACAGACTCTTTGGAACCTTTGCTTCCTCCCACGTAAAATGGAGAAGATTCAGTTTTTCCCCATGTATGTTCAGCCATACTTGGGAAGCCTGTTCATCAGATTGGAGCCTAAGTGTCTATTTGAGAAACTCTAGAATTCTATAACGTAAAGAAGGCAGCCCTTCTTTTCTTTTCAGCATCTACCAATGTCAAGTTGAAAATCTGTGTTCAGAAGCATCCTTCCATATAAGACTATCAGCTTGTATAAAGGCATCCTGAAAAGAAGGGAAAGGTATTTTTCTCTGCCGGACTGCAGAGATTTTCTGTCATCTGGATACAGTAGCTTGAATCCTAAACTCTTTTCCGGTAACTAACTTCAAAATGCTGCTGAGTGTCCTTCTGGAGCTGGCTTGAGACTAAAAGGAGGAGACATTTCAGAAAGAAAGTCTCCTTTATTTCATTATCACTTCTTGGCAACTTGTTTCTGCATAATGTATTTTCCAGCCATGGTGGGACATCCAGACATTTGAGGTTTAGTGGCATTTGGAATATGTTGATTTGTTTCACCTATGTCTGCTTACTATTATGATATTGGCAATGGCTTTTCCCTTCCACTCCTGTCCCTTTCCTCATCCCAGACTGCTGTCACATAGTACAGATGTCTCTGTGGCTCAGTGCAACAGAGAGGCATAGACAGAAATGAATTCAATTGTGTTCCTTTGGAGATTGAGAGTGATTTGCTTTTCTTCTTTAATATTTCCTTGCCTGTTTTGAGAGCCACCTCATCTTATTTCAGTCCTGTGATACATGGGCTAACTGGATATCATGATGGAATCAGGCTCCTATCCATGAATATAATATCATCTATCAGAATGAACAGACCCTAATAGATCCTAGTTTCTGGGTTTGCATCCCTCAGATTTGCTTATTTGTTGGCCAGGGAAGGAGAATGCTTTTATGGCTGTAGGAAAATCCAAGCTTCAAGTGGCCCAGGATGGTTTTAGCAAGAAATTTCCCCCCTTTCCTGACCTGGCCTTCTCTTTTCTCCCAGCCTCACAGCTACCCTGGCAAGTGTTGGTGCAGCCAGTATCCCCAGTGCTGGCCTGGTCACCATGCTCCTGATTTTGACTGCTGTGGGCCTGCCAACAGAAGACATCAGCCTGCTGGTGGCTGTGGACTGGCTGCTGTAAGTACCTGCAGATGGGTTTCTTGTGGGACTTTGAACATTGACTTCCCAGAGTCACAGGGGTACAAGGTTGCAGCCAAGATTGTAGCAATGCCCATTGCAAACTTTCCTACTTCCTTACTGCTTTCCTTTCCTCCAACAACCACTGAGTGCCTTTGGGAAATCCAGGAAGTAAAATATGGAGTCTTTGGAAGCCTCACAACCTAGTGAAAGAATCAGCTAGATTATAATATCAGGTTAAATGTTTGATGATAATTAACCAATTGGAGATGTTGGAAGAGAATCTCAGAACAGAATATTGCACAAATTAAACAAGATACAAGGAAGTATGAACTCTGGTAATCCCATTAGCATGAAACTCTAGGAAAAGGTAATATAATATGTAGCAATGGGAAGAAATTTATGGTTGCCTGGGACAAGAGGTGGGGACATAGAGTTTAAACAGGAAAGAGCACAAGGAAACTTTAATGTGATTCAGAAATGCCTATGTGTTCATTTGTCAAAAGCTGTCACACTATGCCTTTAGAATGGGTGTGTTCTGTTGTCCATACATTACACTTCAATAGGTTATATAAAAATTAGAACAAAAGGGTAGTAATAATGAGAAGCTTTCATCTTAGCCTTGGGTGGGAGGGCAGATTAAGGGATATCAGGAAAAAATGAAAATGGTTGCAGAATTTCAGTGTCAACCACATTCCTGCTACTACATTCAGTACCTTACATATTCTTTTTATAGCATGACTGGATGTTCAGTGGCTTTCTCTCATTTTTAGGTAAAGAAGTAGATTTAGGGAGGCCAAGTGACTTGCAACTGAATGGAGATTTAACCGTAGGTCTGCCTGGTTGTGGAGCCCGCCACATTCTTGTTCATGGCTGCATTCAAAAGGCTGTGACAATTGAACTGAATCATAACTGAATGCTAGACATTACCCAAGTATTATTAGATAGAGGAAACAGGGCCTGCTGGTCAAGACCAGCCTGCACAAAGGCACTGTCTGTGTCTTTTCTGTTGCTGCGGCAGAATGGCTGAGGCTGAGTAATTTATGAAGAAGGGATCTATTCTGGCTTATCTGGAAGTCTAAGAGCATGATGCTGGCACATTAGTTTCTGGTGAGGGCTATGTGCTATTCCATGCTTGGTAGGAAAACAAAAGGACCAGCAGGTGCATGAGGAAGAAAAGAAGGAACAAAGGGGCTGACCCACTTTATAACAACTGATTCTTGCAAGAGCTAATTCATTCTCACAAGAAGTAACCCAGTCTCATGGAAAGACATTAGTCCCACTTAAAGGACCCACCTCCCAACAACCAAATTTAGACATGAGTTTTGGTGGGGACAAATCACATCTAGATTCTGTCAGGGTCTGTGCTTGGTCTAGTGTCATTAGAGGCAGGGAGAGGTAAAAAGGTAGAACAAGATGGACAGCCTTAATGACCATGCACTTAACCGTGTCCAGCTAATCTCCCCAGTGAAAGACATTTTCCTAGTGTAGAGACTCACTACTCAATCACAAGGTGGGTATGTCAAGCCAGATAGTCCCTAACAAAAATGTTTACTTGGTTCTCTATAAGGGCCTATGTGGGCCTTGATGTTCTGTGAAGTGCATATTGATGCCTCCTATCCAGTCTCATAATGAAATGAAATGTCCCATGGTTGCCTGGGACAAGCTAGAAGGAAGTCATTTTTCCCCATAAAATACACCTGTTGGTGCAGTCAGTGATGTTTTGTTAGAAACAAAAAGTGATTCTCAGACATGATCAATTTAATTCTTGAAGGCTGCAAGGATGCTCACGAATCTTCTTCCAAACTGACTCTTTTATCAACAGGTGAATATTCTGGAAGTGCCTCTAGTGTCAAGGGGAGGAGAATACTAAGTAAACTCATGTTGGTCTCTGTCACTGTCTCAAGTGGTGGCGGTGGTGCATCCTTCCCTGTTATGTCAGCAATGAGTTGGATTTAAGGTCTAGCCTTTCTATGACATTTATTCAAACAAGGTTCTGAGACTTGATGGTAGTGTAGTGTGCAGAGGACTGGAAAAGAACAGGATGATTAGATAATTGGAGCAGGATTTAGATGGCAAGGAGTAAATGAAGATGATAGTAATGGTTTGAGATTGCAACACATTGTAGAAGCTCAATAAATATGTACAACCTTAAGGACACCATTGTCAGGTGCTAATGTGGGTTTTTCCATACAAGAAGGCAAGAAGCTATTCACATTCCTCGTGCTTCACCTGTGACTTCTCACTTAAGTTCTCCTTGCTCTTTGCTTCTGGGGCCTCTTGGACTCACGTTGTCACTCCTTGCCTGCTGCAACTATGTGGGTTGATATCTTCTTGGGGCTTGTTTCTGGTATTCTAAATCCACCATTAAAGAGTCGTATTTTAGAAAATTGGTTTTATGGACATTTCTTTCTTTATAATGCAAATGCGTATATTCCTTTGAGTGGAGAAAATGTACTAATATTAGCATAAATGAAGAAAGGGTGCTGATAAGTGGTAGATACTTCAATGTCTTCACACTTATTTTCATTTGATCTTCAGAGTCTATTGATGTATTTAGCAGTTGAGGAGACCAGGAAACAGAAAGATCAAGTGTCTTGTCTGACACAGCAGCATTTGTCTGACTAGATCACAGATCTTTACCCTGTCCCCATCACACCCTTCTGATTTCTATCAAGCAGTTCTAACAATGGGGAAAAGGGAGAGAGAGGTACAGAATAAAGAATTTGGGAGAGACAGGTAGGTTAAGGTCACCATATGCTTTCATCATAATGTTTGTTTTCTACAAAGGTCATGTTGAAGTTACATCCTAGCGTAACGTTATTATCACCTGGGACCTGTAAGTAGCGGTGAGATCATAGGGACTCCATCTTTGTGAAGGGGAGGAGTACCACTACAAAAGGGCAAGTCTCATCCTCCCTTTCACTTTCTTTGCCCTTCTGCCTACTGCCATGTAATGACACCACAAGAAGACCATTGCCAGATGTTAGCACCAGAATATTTGATTTCTCAGATTCTGGAACTGTAGTGACATAAATCCCTACTCTGTAGAAGCTACCATTCCCAAGTATTTTGTTCTAGAAACATAAAGCAAGATACCCTGGTTCTAGGTACTAACCAAGGAAAGTTTGGTTTGACCCGTTTTCTTCTTTTCCAGAATTAAAACAAAACAGATGCTCTAAATGAGGACAAACAGGGTGCAATCAAGGTCTCAGTTACTCTTACAATTTAAAGAGTAACTGCAGCCCCAGATGATCTGTCTTTCATTGTGGACCAAGGTCTTTGTGGCAAGCCTTGCTTCCAAGTCTATTGGATGAAAGTCACTTCATGAAACATTCAAGACCCTGCCTGCTTTTGACCTAAATGTTAGTAAATGAAATAAGAGGCTGGATCATCGCAAATCACCCCATGCAGGTGCTCACATGCTCACACTTGCACAGGAAAACAGCACCCTGACTTCAGGGCTGCAATGGGCCAGGAGGAAGGAGGCAGCTTAAATAACAGCAGAAGAGGATGATATATTTGGATTAACTGCATTGATGCAACCATAAAAGGGAAAACTCTCCTAGACTGGCATTGAAAAGAAGGGAGCAGGTGATGAGGTTTTCTCTTATACTGCAGTTCTAATCTCACATGGAAGGGAGGCCATGAGGTCAAGAGGAAGAGACTCTGGGTATAAACTCTGCACTTTTATGGAACTGTAGGCAAGGGTCTTGTTCTTTCAACCTTCAATATATGACATATACTGTAACAATGACTTATCAGTTTCAGAGCAGGAGCCTAAACCCAATGCCTTTGAATGCCCTGGAGTAAGATTCCCCTGTGATGAATGCTGGTGTACAAATAAGTCTTAACGAGAAGAAAAGAAAAAGGAAGGGTAGAGGACCCTGGGAAAATGTGCATCAGCATTCAGAGTCTGGAGGTGGAGCAGATCTGTTTTGAATTAGTAATAGGGCCACATTCTTTCTCACCAGTGTAAGTAGTTCTGGAAACATCCTCCTGGTCATTGGTCCCATAGCTGTTGGGTGCTTGTTCTTGCATGAGTGAGGAGGTGGAGGTTGAGTTGAGATCAGGGTGCAAGGGGAGGCCAGCTGTCCTTGAGAAAAGTAGTTTGAAAAGAAGGAAAAAAAGAAAAGGGAAAAAAATTCCTCCTTAGGCAAGGTTTGTAAGCATTTACAACTAGCAATTTTTCAATTTAAAACCAAACAAAGCCCACAATGACATTTAATGTGTCATGGTGTTTGCCAACTGCTGGAGGCAGGCCAGCCTCATTACTGCCTGCTAAGCCCTGGATGCTTTTCAATGGGCAGGATTAGCTGCTCTCGAAATGTCATGGTGAAAGCCAAGACTGGAGTCCTAGAGCACTGGATGTGCAAGGCTGGCTAAAATCAGTACCTTTCTGGAGTCCAAGAAGTTGGGGGACTCTTGGCAGATGTTGACTGGAGAACTCACTGACAACCCCTTCTCTGTCTGGAGGCAGGAAGGAGTGAAATCTGGGGATAGTGCCCAGGAGAGGTGAAATATAATACGGTCTGGCCACAAATGAGAGAGGGAGAGCCAAATTACAAGGAAATCTACGAGGTCCTGGGACCCACTGCTCACCTTCATCCATACTGCTGAGATCTGATGTGGGTTTACATTTGCTCATCAGCGGATGTGATAGCAGTTCAGAAGGAAGACCTGAAAGTGCTCCCTGTTTGCAGAAATGAATCTGAAGCTGCTCCTGTTAGCATCTCTCTCTGCAGTGAATGGAGTTTTAGTTCTCAAACTTGACCATGTTCCAAAATCTCCTGCAGTTCTAGAGTTCTTGGCTAGAGGCCAAGATCCAGCATTTCTATTGAAATTCCAAGTGATGCAGATGATGCATGCAGTCCAAGCTCTCACTCATTCCTAGATGCAACAGATTAAAGATAGGGAAGGAGAACAAGAGTCCCTGATTGTATGGGAGGACCTCTTCTTTCTCGAGGAACTTCTAGCAGTTTATGCAGCCATTCAACGAA